CTGGGCATGGGGGGGGGGGCAGGGATTTTTGCTACTGGTTCTCCGAACCAACCGCCACCATCACTACCGGATCGGGTGATCCGGTCCGAACCAGGAGCATTTCACCCCTGATTTGACCCCATGTCAGGTCTCCTTGTTCTATAAACACATTTGCTTCATTTATATGGTGTATGACATCCTACCAGATGCCCCCTCCGATCCATACATTCCATCACTCTGGGGACAGAAAGAATCAAAATGATCCAGATCAAATAGATACGGTCGGCTTATCTAACCATACAGTCACAAAGAACGAAGTGAATTGTTGGAAAGCACCGATCTGCGCCTATCAACTCTTGAAGATGAAAAACCACAGATCATGTTTGAAGCCATAAAATGTTACATTGAGTGATCCCAACCACAACTTCCTGAATTTATTCCAGGAGTGCATGTGTCAAATAAGTCAATATGGAGGCTGCAACTGGACGACTGAAGTCCTGCTGCTTCCCCCCCCCCCCCCCAACACGGTTCAGTGGCTAAGACGCTGAACTTGTCGATCAAAAGGTCGGCAGTTCGGCGGTTCGAATCCCTAGCGCCGCATAATGGAGTGAGCTCCCCTTACTTGCCCCAGCTTCTGCCAACCTAGCAGTTCGAAAGCACGTAAAAAACGCAAGTAGAAAAATAGGGACCACTTTGGTGGGAAGGTAACACCGTTACGTGCGCCTTCGGCGTTTAGTCATGCCGGCCACATGACCACAAAATTGTCATCGGACAGCACTGGCTCTTCGGCTTAGAAACGGAGATGAGCACCATGACCCCCATGCCAGGCAGGAAATTTCAGTAGCAGCTACTTCCTTAAGACTTAAACAATGTGATTTAATGTCACACTTTCAAGTTTGTAGTAGCGAACTGAGGTTTGACTACCAGTTCCATCCCTTGCTTAGGAGAACATACGTGTTTACAAGCACACCTTCTTTGTATCGCTTGCCGTATTGTTTTAAGAATATGCCTTGAAAAAAAAGAGAGAAAGCAATATACAAAGAGGTCTGTTGGGAAGCAAAAGGATGGTTTAATGCTGTCAACGTTAGTTAGATTAATGGTGTCACTAAAAATAACTCAGACTAATACACCAGCCTTGTATTAGCTTGTTCTACTGTATGACTGAGTCATCGGCAGCTGCAGCATGTGCTTCAACAACTGTTGTTTACATTACTTTCCTGGCATGGGGTTAGCATGTTAATCTCTTCCAAAGAGCCAATAAAAAGCCTGTCTAAACCTGGAAATTATGAAACAATAAGAAAAGGCCATTGCCGAATAATGCTAACACTGCGAAAAAGGCCCTTTCCTCTGAGTTACCAGCAATTCAGCCATGCTTACACACAACGGATGACTTGCGGCTGAATGTCGAATTGGGGTTTATATGCTAGGAGAGAAAAATATCAGGCGTTTCTCAGTAAGAAATTGGTAGTGAACTGAGCGGGACAGTGTTTCTCAACCATGGCAATTTGACGATGGGTGGACTTCAACTCCCAGAATTCCCCAGAATAACTGGGTGGGGAATTCTGGGAGTTGAAGTCCACCCATCTTCAAATTGCCAAAGTTGAGAAATGTTGGCATAGGAAAATGGATGAGAAGGGGTTTTTTTCCATGCATCCTCAGCACTGCAGTACAATTCGAAGATATTGTAATGCCATTGTGCGGGGGAGGGGGACCTGCTCTGCATCCTTGTTCAGGCCAACTGTGATGGCTGGCAGAGACTGAAAAAAGGAATAATTAGAATCACGAGGCATGTGATGGCAGAAAGACCCCAGAGAACCAGTTAAATTAAGGGAGTAGCTGTCCCTCAAACAATCCAAACTGAATTTGCATTTAGTGAGAGGAGTTTAAGCAAAAAGTCAGGAGTGTATCTTGCACCAGACTCTATTTTCAAAATGGAGGGCTGGAAATATATACTCATGTTTCCCCGAAAATAAGACCCGGTCTTTTATATATATATATAAAAAAACAGTGAGGTGAGCTAGTGGAAGACATCACCCAAAAATAAGACCTGGTGCCTTTTTTGGTGGGAATATATTTAATTAATTAATTAATTAATTAATTAATTAATTAATTAATTAATTTGTATACAGCCCTTCTCCAGCAGGACTCAGGGCGGTGAACAGCCATGGTAAAACATAACATATAAAATTTAAAAGCAGTTTAAAAACATTAAATAATTTTGGCTATCCATTTAAAACAACCCGGATTAAAACCAATTACAAATTAAAACCGAGGGGATGGGATCAAGCCAGCCCAGCTAGGTGAAAAAGATGTGTTTTCAGGGCCCGACGAAAAGTCCAGAGGTCTGGTATCGTGCGTGTCTCTGGGGGAAGGTCGTTCCAGAGGGCAGGTGCCGCCACAGAGAAGGCTCTCCCCCTGGGGGTCGCCAGCTGACATTGTCTGGCCGACGGCACCCTGAGGAGTCCCTCTCTGTGGGAGCGTACTGGCGGGTGGGAGGCTATTGGCGGCAGAAGGCGGTCCCGTAAGTACCCCGGCCCTAAGCCGGGGCACCAGGTCTTATTTGGTGGGGATATATATATATGGCACCAGGTCTTATTTTTGGGTGATGTCTTCCACTAGCTCACCTCACTGTCTGAAGGTAAGTAGTAGAGCAGCTCCACCACCCCCATCTTCACCCTAGCTTAATTTTTACCCGTGTGCATCACCCCACCCCATGCACCCCGGAGTGTGTGGGGTCTTAACTAGGCCTTATTTTTGGGGGGTAGGGCTTACATTGGGTGGACATGTAAAAATTCAAACTAGGGCTTATTTTTTGGGATAGGTCTTGTTTTTATGGAAACGCGGTATATATCTTTGTTAGGGCACTTGAATGGGTAAAAAAAAAGGTCAAGCTTGTGGCTGCCATGACGCAATTGAGGCTTGGATCCTTTTTTACATGAAATGTATCCCCTATCAAAAAGGAGCAGGACATCAACCATGCAGTTGCATTGCCATTTTGATGTTTCTGACTCCTTATATCAGTGATGGCAAACCTTTTTGGCACCAAAACCGGAATGCACGTGCATGTGTATGCATGTGCACGCACCAGAGCATTGGAAACCTGAAGACTAGCTGGCTGGCATGCACATGCCTGTTTTTTGGCCATTTTGGGAGCCATTTTCTGGGCCATTTCTGGGCCTTTTTCAGGCTGTTTTCAGGGCTGTTTTTGGGGCGTTTTCAGGCTACTTTTGGGGCCAAAAACCACCTAAAAAACTGTCTGAAAACTGCCTGAAAACAGCCCAAGAAATGGCCCAAGAAACAGCCTAAAAACAGCCTGGAAAAGACCCGGAACAGCCCGAAAAATGGCCTGATTTTTGGCTATTTTCAGGACATTTTCCAGCACTCTGGTGCCAGAGAAGATCAGGTGGCCAGCGCGCATGTGCACCCCAGAAGCCAGAAGAGCAGCTGGTGATGGTGCGCGTGCCCATAGAGAGGGGTCTGTGTGCCACCTCTGGCACGCGTGCCATAGGTTTGCCATCACGGCCTTATATCATCCTCATAATGTGCAACAGAGTCATTCCTCATCTCTAGAAGTCACCAAATTTGGTGACTCAGGGCCCACAAACAAAAGGAAGCTCTCTCCCCTCACCACTGAAGTGTTATCGATTGTTGGATATACTGTCGATTTGTTTCCGGTATTAAGCAACTGTTATACAAAGATCTTCCTCCCTAATACATCTCCATAATCTACGAAGACCCGCCGTGCTTTGCAGAAGATTGGAAGAGAAATGTGAGCTCGTGTAACAGTTTTATACAAAGTCCCATTCAACTGAGAGGGATCACACAGACCTAGAAACATGACACAAACAGTGAAAGGACCGTCAGGGAAAGGAATAATCCAAATACACATCCCCATAAAGCAATAAATTTGCGTAAGGCTTAACGCATCCCCAGGAAAATCAAAACGACACAGGACCATAGTTGCCATCTTGACTGCTGTTTGACTTTTTTGAAACCCCTTCCCCTTTTGTGAATAGATCCCTGCTCGTCTTTGTCTAGCATCAGCAAGGGGGGGGTCTATGACAATTTGCCATGGTCAACTCGCCATAGCCAACTCACCACAGGCAACATGCCATGGTCAACCTGCTGTAGCCAACACGCTGCGGGACAACTAGCCATGACCAGTACTGGGATTCAGTTGGTTTGGGGCGGTTCAGGCAAACTGGTAGTTAAATTGCTGGCTGGCCCCGCCCCTTCCTGCCCCGCCCTTTCCTGGAGTCCCCATGCGCCCCATTTTGGCTCCGAGGTAAGTGCAGGGAGGCCTCCTAGGCCCAAAATGGGGCATGGGGGGGCAGTGCCCCTCCGCAGTCTGTTTTTGCTCCCAAGAGGCTTCAGGGAGGCCTCCTAGGCCCAAAATGGGGCACTGGGGATCGATGCATCCCCCTCCCGCAGCCCATTTTTGCTCCCAGGGGAGTGCAGGAGGCCGAGTACTGCCTGTCACACCCCCTGGCCACGCCCACCAAGCCACACCCACAGAACCGGTAGTAAAAAAAATGTTTAAACCCCACCACTGGTCATGACCAATTCACCACAGGGCAACTTGCTGTGGGACAAGTTACACTAATATCAAAGAAATGGTGGAACAGAACCATTATAGAAAGTATGCAAAATGAGGGACAAAATGAAATACGAATGACAAAAAAATATTCTAAATAATTAAATTGAATTGTTAAATTGTCCTGCAGCTATTTGTCCTACGGAGACTTGGCTATAGTGACTTGCGCCACACCGAGTTGTTGTTCCGTTCCGTGATGCGATTGCTATTCTGCCCCAGCTTTCAATAGCAAAACAAGTGAGAAGCCAAGCCACCTGCTTTTTCAATTACCATTTTACACTGTCAGATTGCTTTTCCAACCCTCCTAAACCATCCTCTGGTACCAAGGACAGAACTCTGGTTAACAGTGGAGTGCCATGAAATCAGTAGCATTGAAAAACGTCGGGGAGAACCAAGTACCCAAAATGAAACTAAAAGAAGTCAGAGCTCTAGTAATTTTACATTTAGTTCAAAGTAAAGACATGGCTACCCGTTAGTGCTTAGAGAGTTTTGATAATATTAAAAACATAAATAAGAGAATCTTTCTTTTTCCCCCCGCTGAAATGTCCATTCAAAAGGTTCCAGTGTTACTGGGAGCTGTCACAATTTCCTCTTTTATTTTTATCTATGAATCCATCCTCGAAGGTCCTCCCGAGCCCGTATTTCATTTCCCCCTACTTTATTCCCTTTCTTTTTCAGAAGTAAGTGTTGAAACAACACTGTCGGTATCTTAGTTTTGTACTTAACATCTTAATTCCTCTTTTTTTTTTTTGTCCTTTTTTTTAATAGGAAGAAAAAATGTCTCCGTTGGGCATCTTCACGCTGATTCTGAATTTAAAAATCTCCTTCTGGAACCTGTGTCTATCGTATTGTATGTATAACTTAATCTAAGAGTAAAACTCTACAACACCTCAGACTGCAGTGGGCAAGGGGAGGAGGAATCAAAAGGAAAAATTGCTCCCCTTGAATAACATCATCCTAATCCACCATCCCATCCCAGGGTCCCTTGGACTAATGGAATCAAAGCAACTCTAGCCAACAGATTATGCATTGTTCTTCCAACTTGGGTTAGTAAGAAACAAATAAAAGAGATTGGTTCTACCCCCTTCCCACCCCCAAAAAAAGAAAGAAAGAAAGAAAGAAAAATGTGCAAAATGATGCTGTAGTTATTTTGTTCCACACTACCAAATGGTGGGTTGTGTCCATGTTCAGGTTGCTCCATCTTAAGGTTACTTGCAAGTGAACACTTCTGTCCGTTCGCTGCAAGTGTTGCATTTCACAAAGCAACACCAGTGGAACTTGCAGTTGCACTGCCACACCTTGGTGTACTGGTGAGTGTTGTAGCCCCTTCCGCAGCACATCATGCCACAGCCGTCCGCCCCGAGGGACGTACGGTTGCAGAGCCTGCCCTGGGTCCCAACGCTCCCTGTTGAAGCATCCTCTTCACAGTAATTCGGTGATTTGTCGATGTAGACCAAATCGGTCTCCATTGGCTTCTGGTAGCTTCTGATCTGCTTGATCTTCAGGAAGGTCGGTTGCCGAAGCCGGCTGGCCCGGACCACTTCCACTTGCACCGCAGCATTATATTTCTCTTTTAAAATATATCCAATCTCTCGGAATTTGGGTAGTGTAGTCCAACAAGTCTTCGTGGTGCAGGAACCGGAAACGCCGTGGCATTTGCACTCCAGTTTCATCCGTCCTTCAAGCACCTGTGCATGCAAACAGGGAGAACAAAATAACAACAACAGGCTTCAGCTTTTCTTCTGCTTGGCTGATCTTAAATGCTGGACCTTCAGAGTACATGAAAAGTTACAAAACATCTATAAATATGAGCGACACGATCTGTCAAGAAGCCGTCTATTTTAGATCCCACTGATTTCACTTGGAGAATAGGTTTGTATCAAGCTGGAAGGAATACTGCATAGTATTTTATTAGCTTCTTGTGGATCCTGAGTCCACCAATACAATTCATTTCTTGGAGAGGAGAGGAGGGGAGTGGAGAAGAGAGGAGAGGAGAGGAGGGAAGCGGGAAGGAGAAGGAAGGAGAGAGAGAGAGAGGAAAGGGAAAGAGGGAAGGGAGAGGAGAGGAAAGGGGAAAGGAGAGGAGAGAGAGGGAAAGGGGAAGAGGGAAGGGGGAGGAGGAGGAAGGAGAGAGGGTGAAAGAGGCAAGGGAGAGGAGAGGGGAAGGGGAAGAGAGAAGAGGGAAGGGAGAGGAGAGGAGAGGAAAGGGGAAGAGGGAAGGGAGAGGAGAGGAAAGGGGAAGGGAGAGGAGAGGAGAGAGAGTGGGAAAAGGAAGAGGGAAGGGGGAAGGGAGAGGAGAAGAGAAGGGGAAGGGGAAGGAGGAGGAAGGAGAGAGGGGGGAAAGGGAAAGAGGCAAGGGAGAAGAGAGGAAAGGGGAAGGGGGAAGGGAGAGGAGAGGAGAAGGGGAAGGGGAAGGGAGAGGAGAGGAAGGGGAAGGGGGAGGGGAGGAGAAGGGGAAGGGAGAAGGAGGAGGAAGGAGAGGGGGGGAAAGGGAAAGAGGCAAGGGAGAGGAGAGGAGAGGAAGTGGAAAGGGGGAGGAGAAGAGAGGAGAGGGTTGGAAACCTAATGAAAACATTCATAACCTCAAGAAGAAGAATCACTTTACTATATTCAGAATGTCAATCTAAGCATTTTACTTCCAACGTCAGCTGATTCACGATGCCCACATTGGTCTAAGTTTGTTTCACTATAAGATTATCGATGGCATTTTCCTGTTATGTCCAATTTTTCTTCCCTTACCATTTTCAACCGTTGGGAACACAACGGAGCCAACGAAAGACACGGTTGTGTTTCCCAGGATTTTGCAGTAGCAAACCTGGCAGCCGAGGGGAGCAATCGGATCAATTTCTGGACTTGCACTGAAGTACGTGCAACAGGAAATCTCCACAGCAGAGCAAGAGCTGGATCCGTTCTGAAGTCATTTAGGCAATAATAAACCTGACAAGGGGGATCGATCGCATTTCCCTTCCCCTTTGCAGAGCGCACCAATGGCATCGCCCTCTTGACATAGTCAGTTACTATGGGCAACAACAGCAAGACACCAATTTGGACTACATATATAATCCACAACCATCCCTGTAATGTGTAACCACTAATTCAATAATATTGTTTTCACACTGTGCGATTATTAAGTAGATTAAGTAAGTGCTCATTTTTGGAGTGGTTTAATCGGATAGGTTGAAGTGCATGGCCTGCCTTCTTCCCTTCCCTTCCCTTCCTCATCTTCCTTCCTCCCTCCCTCCCTCCCTTCCCTCACTCACTCCCTTATCTTCCTTCCTTCCTTCCTTCCTTCCTTCCTTCCTTCCTTCCTTCCTTCCTTCCTTCCTTCATCTCCTTCTTTCCTTCCTTTCTTCCTTCACTCACTCCCTTATCTTCTGCCTTCCTTCTTTCCTCTCCTTGCGCTTCTGAATTGCGCTTCTCAGATTAATGAATATGCATTTTAATTAAATCTGCCAGTTTACTTATCAGCTTTAGGTCAGAACCCAATGGAATTCTGTTGCTCTCTACATCGCTAGGATTCTCACTCAGGTGACATTCTCATGGCTAGTCGATAGTGGCCAAAATCAAGAATTTGATTTTAAAAAGCTTCTACCCTTTTAATAAAATTTCTTGGCGAGAAAAAAGATGGTGGCAGACTCCTGATTTTTAACACAACTTGAGTCAATGCCTTCCTTGGGAAACAGACATGGTGATAGGATTATACCTCACACGTGATCTAAAGAGATTTGAAAGCTAAGCTTTCTCCTTTCTAGGTGTTATGGCCTGCCAGCTGCCAGCAGAGCTGGCGGCAAGCTTGGACGCTGAGGAGGTTGGGAAGGAATTTGGGCCAGTCCTGAGTCTGGGGAAGGCTCTGATAGATGCTCTTTGCTCTTCATCGGAAGCAGAGATAGAGCCAGGGCCATCCGACATTTCCCAGCTGCCTTCGGAGTCAGAGATAAGTGGGGAAGAAGAACAGCTGGGGCCTGTTCCAGACGCACGTATGAGCAGAGCTATCAGGAGAGGAGAACAACTGAGGAACAGGGGCCGACTCGGGAAGAAAGGCACACGTGGATGCAGAATGGCCCCTCCTTGGCTGGGGAATAAATAGAAGCAAAAGGGGAATGGTGGTTGTAGGAGACAACTGTTCGTATTTCTTTCGGAATATTTGTTTATGTGCCTCAGACACTTTTTGCCAGGAATTAATTTATAGCTTTGCAACTGGAAGCTCTCAGCCTGGCAATTATCCAAGGACTGATAAGGTCTGTTATTTCAATTAACCCTTGGAAGGATTATTGCCTGGACTTTTCTGTGTGTGATTGCCATTAATTTACAGTAGTTAAATAAAGAGGGTTTTTTCGGGACAAGGAATCTTTTTCTCGGTTTTGCTAAGGCTGGGTCAGAACACTAGGACTCTGGGGTCTTCGATTTATATTCAGCCATTGTTGCTTTTCAAGACGGAGAACTTTAATACAGGTAGTCCTCGACTTACAACTGTTCATTTAACGACCGTTCAAAGTTACAACGGCACTGAAAAAGGTGACTTATGACCGTTTTTCACTTATGACCTTTTCAGCAGCCTCATGATCACGTGATCAAAATTCAGATGTTTGGCAACTGCTTCATACTTATGACCGTTGCAGCCTCCCGGGGTCATGTGATCCCCTTTTGCGACCTTCCAACAAGCTAAGTCAATGGGGAATCCAGATTCACTTAACAACCAGGTTGCTAACTTGTCAACTGCAGTGATTCACTTAATAACTGTGGCAATAAAGGTTGTAAAATGGGGCAAAACTCACTTAACCAATGTCTCACTTAACAACACAAACGTTGGGCTCAATTGTGGCCGTATGCCAAATATATATATTTGGCATACATATATTTCATCAGCTTGAGCCAGGGGAAAGATTAAGTGTTTTTCTATCGAGACACTTGGTTTCCCCCAACAGGAAGGGAGGAGAACTTGTGGCTCAGAAGGTTAATTTAACTGCCTAACATGCACGAAACCCAAGTTCGAATCCGAGTAAGGATATGGCTAGCTGATGAAAGCTTAAAAGCTTGAAATAGATCTATACTAGTCTCCCTTTATTACTTTATCAGCAAAATATAAATTTGGTATAAAATGGTTTGTTGTGAATGCGACTGCTTGAGGGCTCCTGGATTGGAGCTGAAAGGCAAAAGGGAGCAGAATGCCCCCTCCCACATGTTGGGATAGAAAAACACTTAATAGATATAGGTGTCTCGATAGAAAAACGCTTAATAGATATATATATATATATTCTTTTTCACTTTGTGTTAGAGAATCTTCTCTTATGGAGAATTAAAGTGCTATCAGTCCATACAGTAGCTGGGAATGCCTTCAGTTATACTTCGCCAACAATGAATAAATGTTTATATTGTATAGACCATGAAGATTTTTGCAATTTGACTCATTTAAGACAGATGTTTTAGAATGTTTTTGAAGATCCATAAGCATAAAAATTAACTTTTCTGGGCTTCAGATCTTCACTGGGAGCCAAATCCTGAATTCTGGCCCAGTCTCTGACTTCCAAAATCTTTCCCCTTTCAGTAGGCGCAGCTCCCCTTGTGAAAGTTGGTGTTAAAACAAGAGTGTCATCAAATCCCTCCTTCCATCCCTCACATCTCATGAAACGTTCACAATAAGTTTCCCTTTCATTTAGGAGAAACCATATTTATCAAGGGAGGAAATCAAGACAGGATGCATCCAGCCTGTTGCTTCCCTATGAAAATTAGGCATCGAGCATCGTATATTTTTGAGACACCCTAGGAATACAATCCTGGTCAAATGTATAAAACCAGTAGTAATGTTTTGCACGTGTTAGTTTTGGCGGGCAATCCCTAGTTTTGTGTTTTTCTTGGTGGAGATGCTCATTTTCAAACCAGATGCTGGCTGAAACAAAACCCAAGCTACGTTTAACTGCCAGAACCAAAGGTAATAGACAGAAAATGTTTAAAATCGTTGGGTTGAACCAGAAGCTCCTGAGTCTGACTGTTCCTTTCTAGGTCAAGCTCAGAAGCAAATCCACTGACATGGCCTTGAACAGGCTATTCAGGTAAGTGCAGGTAAGTCCTCAACTTATGACTGCAATTGAGCCCAGGATTTATGTTGCTAAATGAGAAATTTGTTAAGCCATTTGTGTCCCGTTTTACGCCACATTCGTTAAGTGAATCCCTAAAGGTAAAGGTAAAAGTTCCCCTCGCACATATGTGCTAGTCGTTCCTGACTCTAGGGGGCAGTGCTCATCTCCGTTTCTAAGCCGAAGAGCCAGCGCTGTCCAGAGACGTCTCCGTGATCATGTGACCAGCATGACTAAACGCCAAAGGCGCACAGAACGCTGTTACCTTCCCACCAAAGGCGGTCTCTATTTTTCTACTTGCATTTTTTACGTGCTTTCGAACTGCTAGGTTGGCAGAAGCTGGGACAAGTAACGGGAGTTCACCCTGTTCCGCAGCACTAGGGATTCGAACTGCTGAACTACTGACCTCTCTGATTGACAAGCTCAGTGTCTTAGCCACTGAGCCACCTAGTCAGGATTATAGTAGATAAAGGTAAAGGCTCCCCTCGCACATATGTGCTAGTCGTTCCTGACTCTAGGGGGCAGTGCTCATCTCCGTTTCTAAGCCGAAGAGCCAGCACTGTCCAGAGACGTCTCCGTGGTCATGTGGCCAGCATGACTAAATGCCAAAGGCACACGGAACGCTGTTACCTTCCCACCAAAGGCGGTCTCTATTTTTCTACTTGCATTTTTTACGTGCTTTCGAACTGCTAGGTTGGCAGAAGCTGGGACAAGTAACGGGAGCTCACCCCATTACGCGGCACTAGGGATTCGAACCACTGAACTGCCGACCTTTTGATCGACAAGCTCAGCGTCTTAGCCACTGAGCCACCACGTTAAATTAGTCACACGGTGAATCTGGCTTTCCCGTTGACTTTGCTTGTTGGAAGGTCACCAAAAATGGTCACGTGAACCTGGGACACTGGCAATATGAACCAGTTGTCAAGCCTCTGAATGTAAGTTAAAGCTTTCTGGATAAAAATATGGTGGACTATTCAGAAGATTTTTAAGAAAAGATAAGTTTCACCCCACAGTTATTTTTGCTGGGTATTATCCCAGACTGTACTGTTATTGAAACTAACTTGATGTTAAATTTAATAACGGCAGCAAGACTGCTAGTGGCGCAATATTGGAAGAAAGAAGATTTACCTACTATAGAAGGATGGAGATTAAAAGTATTGAACTTAGCAGAAATGGCGAAAATCTCAGCATATTTGAAAGACCAATCGCAAGAAAGATATATTGTGGACTGGAGAAGATGGACTGATTATATTCAAAACAAATATGGGACTAAAAAGTTTCAAATAGTATATGAATGAATATCTGGATTTAAGAAGATATGTTATTACTTAAGTTACGTAAATAGGGAGTTAAAGTGGAAAAGGGATGAAAAGAGTTTATAGATAGTTAGCATATGTTAGATTAAGAGTGCTAAATGAAATACCCTGTATTTCGCTCTAGGAAGCCGGGGGGTGGAGAAGGGGGAGGGGAGGGAGGGGTAATGGGGAGGGAGGTGGGGCTCAAAATTTGGTTAAAATGTTTGTAAAAACTTTTCAATTAAACAAAAAGCCTCTGAATGTAAATCACATGACCATGGGGATGCTGCAACGGTCATAATTGTGAAAAACAGTCGTAAGTCACTTTTTTCAGTGCCGTTGTAACCTTGAATGGTCACTAAACAAACTGTTGTAGGTCAAGGACTACTTGTAGCATACATGGATGATATTCCCATACGCATGAGCCAAAGGTTCCCCTCAGTTTTTAATTAAATTTGGTTTTAATTGGGTTGTTTTAAAATATCTTGGGCCGAAATTATTTAATTGTTTTTTAAATTGTTTTTAAATTTTATATGCAATGTTTTATCTTGGCTGTACACTGCCCTGAGTCCCACAGGAGAAGGGCGGTATAGAAATAAAATAAAATAAAATAAATAAAATAAAATAAATAAAGGTGATCTTCTCAAACTATTAAAACAGCTGCATCCTTTTCAAGCTCTGTGCAGCTACTTTGAAGGCCGTTCCCCAGCTGTTGGAAAGTATCCACACCACTGCCACCATCGCAACCACTTTTGTTTCCTTAGTGTTCCCAATGGCAGCATTATCTGTGTCTCTCACACATGTGTGCACACCTATCTGTCAACCCTGAAGCTGACCTGACTGAGGCCATCTTGGAGGCTTAGTGTTGCCACAATGGTGATAGGGATACGGAAGGGGGAATAGAGATAGTTGGAGTTTTTTTAGCCAAAACAAAATAGATTCCCCTGAGAACCAAGGACGTTCCTTGGCTGAAGAGAGGAGGAATGAAGTTTCCACGCAACCAGACAGCACCTCGATTGGACCATGTGACGGATTGTTTGGGAAAGGGAGGAAAACTTTGATGTTTAATTAGGTGAAAACCGCAGGAACCTTCAGAGTCGGTTTTCACCAGTTTGTGCCAATATGATATGCCCAATAAACCTGTTCTTTGAGGAACCTGCTTGCTTCGGAGCTCTGTTTGCTATGGGTGTATTACTTGGAACCCTGACACTATCCTTCCCTATGAAAATCTACTTTGCCCTGGAAACCTCCTCTATTTCTTCCCAACAAAACCTTTCTCTTGTTTTGCTCAAGCAGATCATCATTCAGTCCACAACCATCCACGTGCAGGCTGCAATCTTACAGTCCAAATGTATGATTCCAATTTAGCAATCCCTGCACCGGCAAATGCCTCCCCTCCCTCGAATCATATCTCCCTGTTCTTTGTAATATACCTTTCTTCCGGCTTCATTGTTGTGCAGATTCATCAGCCTCCGAGCGCTCTTTCGGATTTCTCTGGCGTCGACAAACCTTCTGGAGAAGTCGATGCCATATCTGATATCAGCAGAACAGCCTCCCCACTTCCAGCCTTCCTCCTGGTTGTAATAACCTTGTTTCTCTCTGTCACAACCACAACTGCTGAGGTTTCCCTGGCTGCAGGCAGCCGTGATTGCATGGGCGACGCCAGCGGCAGTGATGGCATAGGTGAAGGCGGCTTCTCTGCTTCCTGCGGGGACAACATAGAAAAAAAGGAGGGGGAAAAAAATCAGCTGGAAGATCATGGGAAACTCAGTCCTTGGACATCTTGAAAAATAGCCCATTTTAGGAGCACCCATGACATTCATTCTTGTACCGGTGTTTCTCAACCTTGGCCACTTTAAGGTATGCGGACTTCAACTCTGGGAGATGAAGAGAAATCTGGGAGTTGAAGTTCATAGAACTTCATAGAACTTCATAGAACTTCATAGAACTTCATAGAACTTCATAGAACTTCATAGAACTTCATAGAACTTCATAGAACTTCAACTTGATTATGGGAGCGACGTGGCGCTCCCATGTAACACCTCTCCTGCGCGAGCTGCATTGGCTCCCGGTGGTCTTCCGGGTGCACTTTAAGGTACTGGTTCTCACCTTTAAAGCGCTCCATGGTTTAGGGCCAGGATATTTACGAGACCGCCTGCTGCTACCGATAACCTCCCACCGGCCAATACGCTCTCACAGAGAGGGCCTCCTCAGGGTGCCGTCGGTCAAGCAATGTCGGCTGGCGGCCCCCAGGGGGAGAGCCTTCTCTGTGGGGGCACCCACCCTGTGGAATGAGCTACCTCCTGGAATACGACTGAACCCGGACCTCCGGACCTTCCGTAAGGCCCTGAAGACGTATTTATTCCAGCAAGCCGGCCTAGCCTAAATGGTTTTTAATGGGATCTTAATTTTATAGACTTGGGGGTTTTAAATTGGGAGGCCGATTGATTTAATTTCTTTTAATTATCTTAACTTTTGTATTCTATGTATTTTTAATTTTGGCTGTTCACCGCCCTGAGTCCCTTCTGGGAGAAGGGTATACAAATTAAATTAATCTCCTCAGGGTGCCATCAGCCAAGTTATGTCGGCTGGCGACACCCAGGGGGAGGGCCTTCTCTGTGGGAGCCCCAGCCCTGTGGAACGAACTGCCCCCGGAAATACGTAAGATCTCCGACCTCCGGGTGTTTCGCTGTGCACTGAAGACCCTGTTGTTCCGCCAGGCCGGGCTATCAACATAATAGTTTTAAATTGGGGTATTCTAAATTTCTGGGGTTTTAATTGAGCCAAATTTATTTAATCATTTTAAATTTTAATTGCTGTTTTGTCTTGTGTTTTTTAAATAGGCTGTACACCGCCCTGAGTCCTTCGGGAGAAGGGCGGCATAGAAATAAAATTATTATTATTATTATTATTATTATTATTATTATTATTATTATTATTATTATTATTATTATTAAATAAACTGGCCAAAGTTGAGAAACCCTGCCTTATGCACCATTTGTTACGGTATCCACTTACCTGGAATTGGCCTAACCTATGGCCTGGTGATGGTGATGAGAGAGCTTCTGTGAACTGGGGAAGGGGGGAATTGAGTCCAACCATCTTTTCGATTCAGTTCAATGTGAAACTTCCAAATGGGCAGATCAGATCAGCCTGATGCAATTGAAGTTAGTTCAGAAAAGGCCCTTGTGAAGGAATAGTCTGCATCAGTTTGAAGTTCTTTTGGTTCAAAGCTTATCTTGCCCAATTTGATTTGGGGGGCGGGATTGGAAAGCTGTTCAGTTTGGAGACCTGATCAATCCCGTTTTCAGTCAGCTCTCTCAACTGACTGTACTTGCATAGACCTAAAATTAGTCCTCGGATTTGAGTTGTTTGAGGGCAGCAAGGAAGATTGGGAAGTGCTGCTTAGCATTGCTCACTATCAGGCCCAAGCCCAAGGATGACACGGCGAAATTCTATCAAGTTTATACCTTTATTTGCTTACACATAATAGACAGAATCTTGCCAGACTAAAGTTATGCCATTCTAACCTACAAGAGACGTCCTGAGAGATTCTAGAGCGTGACTGTCCTAAGCCTCTTCCTCCCTCCAGTCTCTTATTGTAGGCTTCTCTCTAGAATATACTGCCTCCTCCCGAAAAATTGTGGTGGTCTTGCAGAGTTTCCCCTTGCCCCCCCCCCCCCGGGATAGGGAGCATTCCCTTCCTAGGGATCTATTAGATGAGAGAGAATATAACCCACAGCTTCATAACAGGCAGAGAAAGAAATTCAGAAAGGACCTCCCTAAATTCTCAGGCTGTAAAAGACTTGCACGATTTGGTTAAATGTAGCCTTACAATAAAGTAGAATTAGAATAGAATAGAATAGAATAATAGAATAGAATAGAATAGAATAGAATAGAATAGAATAGAATAGAATATATATGTATATGTATATGTATATGCATATGCATATGCATATGCATATGCATATGTATTTGTATATGTATATGTATATGTCAAATACCACTCACTCATCACGAAATCTCCAGAACACTAAAGCCTACAAATTTGACATTTTGCACGTATGTTCCTCTTGGCTTCTAGGTGCTAGCTAAGAAAGGATTTTTTGAAATGACAATCAGATCATTAGTATTTCATATACAGTATTATATTCACACGCTCTGATGCTTACATGTTCTACTCCCCCTCCCCACCTGAAAGGAACTCTGTTCCAACTGCCAGTTGCCTTATATTAACATGCTCTGATGCTACCCCTTTGCTAAACCGGGCATGGGCATGGCCAGCACGTGACTCATCCGGCCTGCGGGCTGGGACATTCTACTCCCCCTCCCCCTCTGTTCCAACTGCCAGTTGCCTTATATTAACACGCTCTGATGCTACGGAGTTACACATTCTACATTAAGTTTCAGGCTTTAAGTGTCAATTTATCATGCCCAATCACATAATTTTGTGAAGCCAGTTAGGTACAGTTGTTAAGGGATGAGGCTAGAAACTTTTCTTCCAGTCAGTTTCAGTCTGACTAGTTAGATTCACTAAAGAGACATGTTCAGGGCAGTTTTACTGTTCTTTAGCTTTCCTGATCTGTCAAAAGTTCTTAAAGATCAAGCTGTAAGAGATCCTTCCCCTGATCATAAAGATCACATTTTTGGAGATCCTTCTCCTGATTTGATGTGGTCATCTTTTTTATGCTATCTTCTTTGTATTGTTGTGCTGTTATGTTTCTAAATAGCAAATAAATAAATAAACAGCACAACGTTTTTACAAAGGTGATTCTTTTTAAAAGCATATCTAACTACCCCTGCAATTTTCAGAAACGCTTTTTTCAAATGTATCTCTCTCTAAAAGTGTGCCGGTGTGTTTTTATTTGTGTGGGTGCACCCATTGCTTCTTGTCCTGCCCTCAGGGGCTTTGGAGAATACCTTGACTCCCTCTTCTTTGTGGCAGCCCCTGAGAAATTGGAAGACTGCTATCATGTCACCCCTGGTCCTTCTTTTCATGAAACTAGACATACCCAGTTCCTGCAACCGTTCTTCATATGTTTTAGCCTCCAGTCCCCTCATCGTCTTTGTATTGTAGGGCCTGGGCTTTCCGAAAACTGGAGACCTTCCAGAAAAGGGTGGGAATGGATTGTGTCTGAGAGGTGGAAGATTGCAATGTGAAGATGAGGAAACTGTCTGAGTGTTTCAGTCAGGCAGCTGGATTTTGGACCCAATCTATGAAATATTAGAAACATGGGTGTAGTCATATATGAAACCTCTAATTAAATCAACAAAAAAATATATAGTTTGAGATGGATGCTGAAGTTATGGGCTTATGGTCTGACTATCAACCTTTCCCGCCCTGCTAAGCAACCCCTTTGCTAAGGTTGAGTTGAAGACAGAAGACATTCCATGTCCTCTGGGACCGTCACCAACGAAGGCTTGAGGTCTGCAACGTCATATTTCCAGTTCACCAGCAGTTTGTAGCATCGTGCTTTGGAACTGCTGCTGTTCCCCAGAGATCATCAAGCAAAAAAAATAGAGAGAGCAAGATTAGGAAACCCAACGTGCAATATTGTCAGATTTCTCTTTCCTCAGCAAACCCAGAGGAGCAGATTGCTTGCAGTCTGAACCACGTTGCTTCTTCCAAACATTTGCCTTCATTTTCAATATTAGAGCAGAGTTCTGTTTCACTCTGGGCAAATGGCTTTTGCTCAGCGGATGTTTCTGCTTAACTGTAACACCATGAGATGGATAACTGCAGAGTGAAGTCATCAGATGGGTGGAGAAATTCAGAATCCTACCTTGTGCAACTTACTCTCAACCTAGTTGACTTGAAAGAAAGAAAGAAAGAAAGAAAGAAAGAAAGAAAGAAGGAAAGAAGGAAGGAAGGAAGGAAGGAAGGAAGGAAGGAAGGAAGGAAAGCAGGCAAGAAAGAAAGAAGGAAAGAAAGAAAGAAAGAAAGAAAGAAAGGAAGGAAGGAAGAAAGAAAGAAAGAAAGAAAGAAAGAAAGAAAGAAAGAAAGAAAGAAGGCAGGCAAGAAAGAAAGCAGGCAAGAAAGAAAGAAAGCAGGCAAGAAAGAAAGAAAGAAAGAAAGAAAGAAAGAAAGAAAGAAAGAAAGAAAGCTAACAGAATGTGGGGAGATGGCAAACCTAAGGAGAATCCCCAAAGACAGTGCTTTGTGTAGGAGCCCTGGTGACCCAGTGGTTAGAATGCAGCACTGCAGGCTAACTCTGCCCGCAGGCTGGAGTTCGATCCTGACGGAGGCTCAAGGTTGACTCAGCCTTTAGCTCAACAGACAGAAGCACTGTAATTTAACACCAGCTGTCTGCAATTAAAGTAAGATCGAATCTCACCAGGCTCAAGGTTGACTCAGCCTTCCATCCTTTCTAAGGTGGGTAAAATTGAGGACCCAGTTTGTGGGGGCAATAAGCTGACTTTGTATAAAATATACAAAAGGATGAAGGCTATTGCTTAACGCATTGTAAGCCGCCCTGAGTCTCCGGAGAAGGGCAGCATATAAATCAAATTAAAAAAAAAACTTGTTTGATGCAAACTCAGGACTGTGGCTTGGTCCCTAGAGAACTGCTATTGATTTGTGGGAAGAAAAGCAACTAACTATATTTTGCTTTTTTTCATGACTCATCCATTCTTCACTAGCAACTTAATTACTATGGTCATTTCAATGGCATACCTTTTAATTTTCACATCCTTTAACAAGATCTC